TTTTTTAGGTCTAAAGAGGTTCCCCACTTTTTGGACAGCTTATGGTATATACAGAGTGCCAAAAGATAGAATACCAAAAGTTTTCAAAACAAATTAAGGAAACACAATTTTTCCCCCAAAATTGAACCATGCGTATGCATGGTTCAAAGTGATTGTACACACAATACACGAAATTTAGCCTTAGGTCTTTTTGTGACCTTGCATACTGGTACAAATTTTTGGGACCAATTTTGATCCCTAAACTTTTTCACGTGTGTATTTTGATCATTTTCGACAATTTGTTATCCCGTTGACTTCTCTTTAACTCCAATTGACTCTTGGCATTCTTGAATTGCTGTCTTGCAGTTCGACACAACTTTTGAATTATTGCATTCAGTCCCCTTAGTTTTGATTTCGCCATTTTTCTCTATTTTTCACATGTTTCCTCCAATTATTCTTCAAATCACAAGTTTTACCTATCAAACACAATATAACACAAATTATGCTATATTTCATCAAAAGAGCTACAAAATGTCATTACTTAAAGTCTCAAATAAGTATATAAGATACACTTATCATGTAACATTAGAGTTGAACTTGACACATAGACCGTGACTGGTGGAATAAACTATTCACAGTTTTTAGAGGAAAACGGTTGGAGGGAGTTTTAAAACCCGGCAATAACCCAATACTTTATCAAGCAAATGTGTATAAACAAGTTGAAATTGAAATTTGAAAATCATATGTACAAAATTTATTCCATATGTATTGCAATGCAAATATGGGAATGCAAAGTTTACATCTCAAGTTTAATTTCAATTTGGCAACATCAATTGCCCCAAAAAAAAAAAAGACAGGATCTACTCTGTAGGGAAAAAGATAGTATTTTCTGTGAGTGTGAAACTTCATCTGCTTTTTTTTTCCTCTCTCGTAAAACTCGACCTGGTTCAGTACTAAGATCAACCCTCTCGACTATTGGGTTGGTAAAGATGAACGCAGCCTCGTTCAACTCTAGTAATACTTGTTAACCTCAGTTTTCCGTTTTGCAACTGAAATCCGATTTCCCATCACCGTAAATGACTGGTAGACAGAATAACATGAATAGAATAAGCGGCAAACTTAAAGTGACTAACCAGAAAATAAATCACGTTTAGTGACCCAAATGAAATGTGCAGGTATGGGCAAGCAGAACATCCAAAATGAAGATTCTATTTGTTGCATCCTGAAATTGTTGTCATTGCTTTTCTACTTCCTTTGGATAGATAAAATGGTGTAATTTTGTTATTTCCAGACAGAAGGCCAACCATTTTTTGTTCTGATGTTTGTTCAAGTCTCTCTATTTATATCTGCAGGTTGGTCCAGAATATGCAAGATATTGTGGTATTGAAGCTCTGGAGCCTTTGGGAATTTATTTGCCCGGTGACATCAATTATCCTGGAGGAGTGCTTTTCGATCCCTTAAATCTCTCTGAAGACCCTTTGGCTTTCGAGGAACTGAAGGTGAAAGAGATAAAAAATGGGCGCCTAGCTATGGTTGCATGGTTAGGCTTCTATATTCAAGCTGCTTTGACGGGTAAAGGCCCTCTACAAAACCTTCTTGAACACATCTCAGATCCCCTTCACAATAACGTTTTTTCACTTCTGAAATCTCTTTAAGATTTGTACTTAAATTGTACAATTTGTTTGAAATTGATTGTCATATATGTGTATATATACACACGAAACTGTATTATATGTTTCACCCAAGATCTGCATTTTGGTAGCGATTAGAATCAAATTTTTAATAGATTTTGATAAAAGTTGAAGAAATGTGTGGCTGAAAAGTTATGGGTTATTTGAAATATATGGTTAAAATTAATTGTTGATTTTTATTTAGATTAAATTTGAATTTAAGTTCTACCAAACAAGGCTTAATAATTTCTAAAATAGGATTGCTGATGAATAATTGAGCAAAGTTATTGTTGCGGAACTTTTTGAGAAATCTTGATCCGGCTCGAAAAAATCAACCAAACGTACTTCAATAGAACGACTCGACCCAACACTTCTAACACCTTGGTTACCACAAGTTTTTCATCCACAAGGGATGACAATGATTGCAAGATATGACAAAGGAAAGGAAGAAGGATGGAGGCTCAATTCACCAACACATGGTTGCAGTCTCTCTTTCACTCCTCTCACGACTGCCCTCTCTCCCTTGCCAAACAACGGGAGAATTTCCAAAATAGTCGGGTCAAATGACCCATTTGGGTTTTTTATGTAAAAGTCAATTTTGCCCTCAATGAAATGATTTTTTATTGCAAACTAAGTCCTCAAACTTTATAATTTTTNATTGAGCAAAGTTATTGTTGCGGAAATTTTTGAGAAATCTTGATCCGGCTCGAAAAAATCAACCAAACGTACTTCAATCGAACGACTCGACCCAACATTTCTAACACCTTGGTTACCACAAGTTTTTTCATCCACAAGGGATGACAGTGATTGCAAGATATGACAAAGGAAAGGAAGAAGGATGGAGGCTCAATTCGCCAACACATGGTTGCAGTCTCTCTTTCACTCCTCTCACGACTGCCCTCTCTCTCCCTTGCCAAACAACACCCTCACGGTCGGAATGGATATCATGGATATATAGCCAAGATGTTAGGTCACCAATTTGGGCTGAACATATCACTAAATGAGCTGCCACTTCAATATCACAAATAAGATAAATGGGCTAATAATATCATCCACATAAATGGGCTACCATATTATCACCAAAATTCAACTCAAAATTTAGGTCCTCCAAAAGTATATTAATTGTTTTTGAGTCAAGCCATCACTTTGGTGTTGATAAAATATTCGACATCGTTTTATCGTCGTCGCCTAGATTTATTGGGTATCAAAACACGTCAATTAACTATAAAAACTTGATTTGTTTGTTGTTGTGCCAATGACTTTGAAGAAAGTTTGTGAAAGTTCAAAAATTAACAATACGATATTGATATATTTCCAGTTGTGTTAACAAATATAGAATAAATGGCAAAAACTCAAATATAAAAAAGTTCATTTATACAAAAACGCAGCCCATTTTCACCTTTTGGATTTTCACTATTTAATATTGAAATGGACGTAAAATCTGTTGAGATTTGAGTGATATAAATCTTAAAAGCTGAGAACTCAAATACTAAAATATAAAGGTTGAGGATCTAACTTCTATATTACCTATAGATAGGGGGTTCCACTGCAAAATTTATCCTTAATTGATGACAATCGAATGCAGAAACTGAGGAAAGGGCCCCACCTAATCAAAACACAGAGGTAAGTGGTGCCAAAATCGTTGATGATAAGTATGAATTAAGAAAATAGTCAATATTTTTGTAATATAATTTAATTTATTTATTTTAAAATTGAATGAGTAAATTAATTTATTTTTTGATTCAATGTGCAAAACGCGTCTACATTAATTAGTACAAACCTAATAATTATTAGTTTGATGTTGACACACTAACTTAATTTGGAATTGATAATTATCGAATTTATGTGCAAAGGCTCCATTATTTCTTTATTTACATTTGCTCGATTATTTGTACGCAATCAATTAACAAGAACAAAAGTGAAAGATCTGCGAGCAATAGAAGAACGAATCTACTTCGAAGGAGATATTAAATTCAAATTTGTATTAATTATCCAAATCTTATTTGTATATATGCCAATTATTTTTATCGAACTGTTCCTCCTACTTATTAATTTGACACTTATTTGACAAATAATCGTGACATTTAATTTAAGTCAATCTAACGGTCAATATTTTATGGATATCAAGTTGTTATAACAAACTCTCACATGATCTTAGTGAAATACATATTGAGCGTTGGATTGACTTAANTTAAAATAGTAAAAGGGTATTTTGGAATTTTTATGGTTGAATTTGGGGTATTTTCAATAATTTCTCCCAAACAACACCCTCACGGTCGGAATGGATATCATGGATATATAGCCAAGATGTTAGGTCACCAATTTGGGCTGAACATATCACTAAATGAGCTGCCACTTCAAGATCACAAATAAGATAAATGGGCTAATGATATCAACCACATAAATGGGCTACCATATTATCACCAAAATTCAACTCAAAATTTAGGTCCTCCAAAAGTATATTAATTGTTTTTGAGTCAAGCCATCACTTTGATTTTGATAAAATATTCGACATCGTTTTATCGTCATTGCCTAGATTTATTGGGTATCAAAACACGACAATTAACTATAAAAACTTGATTTGTTTGTTGTTGTTCCAATGACTTTGAAGAAAGTTTGAGAAAGTTCAAAAATTAACAATACGATATTGATATATTTCCAGTTGTGTTAACAAATATTGAATAAATGGCAAAAACTCAAATATAAAAAAGTTCATTTATACAAAAACGCAGCCCATTTTCAACTTTTGGATTTTCACTATTTAATATTGAAATGGACGTAAAATCTGTTGAGATTTGAGTGATATAAATCTTAAAAGCTGAGAACTCAAATACTAAAATATAAAGGTTGAGGATCTAACTTCTATATTACCTATAGATTGGGGGTTCCACTGCAAAATTTATCCTTAAATGATGACAATCGAATGCAGAAACTGAGGAAAGGGCCCCACCTAATCAAAACACAGAGGTAAGTGCTGCCAAAATTGTTGATGATAAGTATGAATTAAGAAAATAGCCAATATTTTTGTAATATAATATAATTTATTTATTTTAAATTAGTCTATTTTCCTTACCTTAAAATTAAATGAGTAAATTAATTTATTTTTGATTCATGCACCAACGTAACAATGTGCAAAACGCGTCTACATTAATTAGTACAAACCTAATAATTATTAGTTTGATGTTGACACACTAACTTAATTTGGAATTGATAATTATCGAATTTATGTGCAAAGGCTCGATTATTTCTTTATTTACAATTGCTCGATTATTTGTACGCAATCAATTAACAAGAACGAAAGTGAAATATCTGCGAGCAATAGAAGAACGAATCTACTTCGAAGGAGATATTAAATTCAAATTTGTATTAATTATCCAAATTCTGTTTGTAAATATGCCAATTATTTTTATAGAATTGTTCCTCCTACTTATTAATTTGACACGCTTATTTGACAAATAATCGTGACATTTAATTTAAGTCAATCTAGCGGTCAATATTTTATGGATATCAAGTTGTTATAACAAACTCTCACATGATCTTAGTGTAATACATATTGAGCGTTGGATTGACTTAAATTAAATATCACGATTATTTGTCAAATAAATGTGTCAAATTATTGAGTAGGAGGAACGGTCCCGTATCTTTATAATCACGAGNATTAATTTGACACACTTATTTAACAAATAATCGTAAAGCTCAATATTTTATGGATATCAAGTGATTATAACAAACCTTCATATGATCTTAGTGAAATACATATCGAGCGTTTGATTGACTTAAATTAAATGTCACGATTATTTGTCAAATAAATGTGTCAAATTATTGAGTAGGAGGAACAGTCCCATATCTTTATAATCACGAGATTATCAAATAGACAAGCAATCTCATAAATGTGAAAGGAGATTTTTGATATGTTGAATCTGCTCATAAGAAAAATAAAATTAACAATAAATAAAATTTATAAACACATCTATAAGTAATTATTATTATTATTTATTTCTAGGGGAATGTATAATTCATGTAAGTTATTTTTTATTTACAAATAAAAATATATGAAAGAATTGTATAATTCTGTTAGGATAATGACAAATGTGTTATCCAAACAAATTAAAGGCCAATTCTGTTAGAAGATAAATTTTGATAAGTCGATGGATGGACCCACAAATATAAACATGTAATTTTTTTTTTAAGATTAACGAGATTTTCAAGATAAACCAAAATCTCGTCTAGAAAACGAGAATTTAAAACCGTCAACGAGTACAACCAAATCTATAATTTGTGGGTTAGCAATTGAAATCGGCCTATTCGACTCAAATCTTGCCTTGGATATCTGTTATATATTGGTTCGATCCTTGACCTCTAACACTACTTTTACGAGTCGATATCGAAATTTTAAAATCCCTATCGAAATAGAAATTGAGAGGTTGAGTAATTAGAGTTTGAGTAGGACACAGTCACTTCCATTGGCTTCCGCCAGGTGTTTATACTCTGTATCTCCATTCTCCTTTCAATGTGTTGATTCCGATTTGCTCTACCGATCATAATATATTGGATGTAGGTTAATATCTCTGTAAATTTTCTTTTGTAATTCATGCATGCTTTTTAATTCAGCTTATTTTTTAATTATTTTAATTTTTGATATTCCTATCGATTGAATCCTTGTTAGAACTTTGCATGTATGTATATATGTGGTATTGTTAACGTGTATTCTTGTGTGAATGAATTTCGTTGTTGTAGATAGTTTTTCTTCGTCCACCGTTTAAAATTCAGAGAATGATGGCTGCAAAAGAGGTTTGTAAGGCGGTGTCGGAGGTGGTTACAAAACCTAGCTCTTACCAGAATGATCTGCCCAAGCCTGATGCTAACGGGATCAGCCACCATAATCACCGGAATGATCCTGATAAATCCAATGCTTTCATGAATGGAGCAAACGGTTTGAGTGAGGATCTTGTGGTTAATAAGGACGTTGTTGAGTTGGATTTGAGTGTTTTAACTGATTCCGAGGTCGTTGAGGTTCAAGGTGTGAAATTTGATGCTAAAAGCGGAAAATTGGATACCAAAAGTGCGGAAATTAGTGAATTGTTGGATGGGGGACATGATGCTGTGGAAGGGACTAATGGGATTTTCGCGGTGGAGAATGACACCCCCCAAGATCAACAGAATTCCCTTGGGGCTGAGGTGCTTGGCGTTGCGAATGGGACTAATGGGATTCTCCCTGTGGATAATTGCAGCCCCCAAGATCAACAGAATTCCCTTGGTGCCAAGGGACACGTTGTGAATGGGGCTAATGGGAATCTCATGGTGATAAATGGCATTCCCCAAGATCAACAGAATTCCCTTGGGAATGGGGTTGGGGTTCAAGGTGCTGATACTGATACTGATGCTATGGAGGAGCAAGGTGGAAAAACTGAGAATGGGGCAGCAGGTGAAATAAAGCAGGTTCAGGGCCAAACTGGTAAAACAGAAAGCAATACAGAAGATGATTTAGAACTGGTTCAGGACCAATCTGGAGAAACCAAAAGCAATGCAGAAGATGAAATAGAACAGGTTCAGGACCAGACTGGAAACACAGAATGGAATGAAGAAGATGAAATAGAACAGGTTCAGGAACAATCTGGAAAAACAGAAAGCAATGCCGAAGATAAAACCGAAAGCAATGCAGAAGATGAAATAGAACCGGTTCAGGACCAAACTGGAAAAGCGGAAAGCAATGCAGAAGATGAACAGGTTCAGGACCAATCCGGAAAAACAGAAAGCAATGCTGAAGATAAAACAGAAAGCAATACAGAAGATGAAATAGAACCGGATCAGGACCAAACTGGAAAAGCAGAAAGCAGTGCACAAGATGAAATAGAACCGGTTCAGGATCAAACTGGAAAAACAGAAAGCAATGCAGAAGATGAAATAGAACAGGTTCAGGGCCAATCGGGAAAAACAGAAAGCGGTGCAGAAGATGAAATAGAACAGGTTCAGGATCAAAATGAAGAAACTATAAGTTTGGTCAAAGCTGAAATAGAGAAAGTTGAGGATCGGACAGAATTGGAGTCCTTCCCTAGTGTGATTGCGAATCAGAAATCTCTAGTGGGGTTGGATACACAATTAGCTGAGGGTGTGGAATTAAATAATTCGTTGTCGGACATTATTTTGTCTTGTGATGCCATTGAAAAATGCCCCGGTTATAATCGAGCACTTGATGTGGTTGCAGATGTTGTTGAATGTGAATTACGAAAGATTGAAGTTGGGGAGGTGAGCTCAGAGGAAGTTCCCGTTACCACTTCTATGCATTTGGATCCCAAATCCTGGCCACTTATTAATGAGGAAAAGAGAAAGACAGAATTAGAAGCAGGGAAGTCTCGGACATTGTTTTCGAGGCGCTGGGCTGACATGGTGAAAACTCCCTCGACGAAAACAGTAATTGTTCATGACCATGCTTCTAAAGTAAATAAAGAAAATTTCCCTCTACCTCCAAGTCCTGAAGAACCGGTTGAACATCCTGATTGCAGTGAAGCATCACCTAAAGCTGTAAAATCTGAAATTTTGATTGATGTTTGCCGACCAACTGACAACTTTCCAGCTTCAATTTTTGAGGCTCATGAACCTCAACTTAAAAATTCTGATGCTAAAAGCACTGACGAGGTTTCTTCTTCATCTAGTGATGGTCTAAGACTAAAAATTAATGAGGAGAACGACCCAGTTGTTGACAACATAATTCTAGATTGTACCACCAATGATGCAAATGAATGTGAGGACAATGGGAATGGAATTTCAACAGCTTCTCCAAAAGGTTCTACTGATGTCATGCTTGCTCAAGAAAACTTGAGTGTTGAGGGTGCAACAAGGCCATTCTTTCTTGTTAGGATTCCAAAGTTTAATGATAGGAAACTGAGAGAACAGATAAAACATGCTCAGCTAGAAGTTGATGAGAAGACTCGGCTCAGGAATGTTATTCAACTTAAAATTCAGAAGACAAGGGTAAAATCTTCTTCCATAGGAAATTTTCTTATATAATTTTCAAGTGAGTAATATTTATTCAGTGTTTGGGTTTCTTCTATTTATAGGAAAACTATCGAGCTCGTGGTGCTCAATATGAAGCTGCCATGATTGAAAGAGGAGCTGCAAGGAAGTTAGTGAGATCAAAGCGCTCGGAAATAGATAATCTTCATTCTGTTATTAACAGAGCCAAAAGTGTGATGACTCTTGAGGATTTGGATAGACGAGTAAGCTCTTTCACTCTCCCTCTCTTGAAAGTGTGCATGCATATGTTACATGATTCAGTTATTTCCTGGGGCAGATATGCAATATGGAACATATGACACAGCATGAAACCCTTACCCTAAAGGAGGAAAAACAGCTCATTCATGAAATCAAACAATTGAAACAGCAGCGTGAAAAATTGTCTCGTGGCATTGGTAGCCAAAATGAAATCCAACAGGCTTTGGACCAGAGAGAGGAAGTTGAAGAGCATTTGAAGGTATGAATATCTGATTATTGTTGTGCATAATATCAAGACATACTTGCAGTTTGCATATGGCATTATTTTTCTTGCTAGTCTATAGAATCAAAGAGATGGAAAAATATAATTACTCCATCCTATTGTATGACAGACATTTCAATTTTGCTTTTCTGTGTCTTCGTGTATTCTTTAAGGTTTTCTTGTGTAGCAGGAAAAATTATAC